TATTTCCCATTGTAGTTGTACTTGGCTTTGTCCTTTTTTTTATTTCTTATAGCGCTCATGAGAGTGTGAGAACTGTATGTCATCTTTTGGAGCTGATCTATGATGATTGTATGCTTCTGCACTTGCTTATGTACTATCAATAAGCTATTCTGAATAAGCGGCCCCAAACAGTTTTATCTTTATTCAACAACAGCTCCCAGTAAACTGTTCTGAATAAGTTGCCTCAAACAACAATCCAGCTTATTCTGATAATCTGCAGATTATCAGATTATCAGAATATTATAAATAATCAACAGCTGCGCCAAACAGACCTGCAACTTATTAAATAATCTGTTGATAAGCTGATTAAAAATAATCTACTGATAAGCTAGGTACGGTGGTTATTATAAATTTTTATTTTTTTAAAAAATTCATACCGCTGCCAGAAAGTTGCCACAGCATCTAGACATGTGCGGTGTGAAAATGTTGTTTTCGACGTTTTGAAAACGCATAAGCTGCCAAAACGCAGTTTACCCAAAAAGGTCAGGTGTGTTTTCAAAACGTCACTGCCACAAATAAGCTGTCCCAAACAGACCAGATTACTATTCTTGGAATAATAGAAGTTAAATACATAATTGGCTTCTTACTTTGCTAGTTAGCAGCTACTTCAACAAAGAAATTGAACTAACAAAATCGTTACCAAATAAATGATCATCTTCTTATAAAACGATAATTCTAACGCACACATTGCATTCGCGAGAGTTTAATGCAATATATACAGGTTTTTTTAGTGATTTACGAATCGATGAAGGTCGAATATTAAAATGCTGCTGAGCCATCAATATTATAAATCAAGAAGCTATAGGAAAGTGTCAGGGTTCTGAAGCATCAGTGTTTAATGTTGAATATAAAAATGTAAAGGAATATTTATATCAGATAAATTCTCACCAGTCAAATTTGGGAAAAAACTTGTCAGTCACATACAGAATTTTCATCATTAAATTAAAAAAAAATAATTTTTTGCTAACTTTTTTGCTAATCTCAAATTGAGAGAGATCATAGTTTCGAGGAATAACATGTGCATTAGCATTTATTAATGCGAGAGCCTTGATTAGAATTCGAAGAACAAACATGGGCTAAGTCGGACAAAACCTTTCCTGATTAATAATTACCTACCTCCAGACGCTCGATCAAAATCATTCGATTTCTCATCAACAATATCCGCCATCGAGTTCGAGACACCGAGCAAATTGCCGGGTTCCGAACGCCTCCGGCGAGAGTGCCACAACTTTCCTATCCTTACCTGCGTATTCATCCGTTTCAGAGGCGAAGAACCGCCGCCATCGCCAGGCTTCTTGGCAATTCTAGCGATTTCAAATCTTCCCCTGACGCACTCGACGTCAAGAGCGAAATCAAGGAAATCCACGAGGGCTTTGCGGTGCACCAAATAAGAGGATGGTGGCAATGGGGGGGCACTGGCGACGACATACGAGTCCATTGACGGGGAGAAAAAAAACCCTAGAGGTTAGGAAGAGGGACAAGGCTTTGAAAAACAAGGCCGGTTTGAGGCAGAAAATTCATAGTAACGGCGGAGAATCTCTGAAATCGTCCTCTCTGGAGCATTATTAGATAATATTTTGAAGAATATACCCTTTTGGTGGTTTTTGATCCAAGAAGTTTTAGGAGGAATAATTTACTCCAAAATAGAAGGGTAGCCTTATAATTTTCTTTTTTTATTTAAGATTTTAAATTATAATTTTAAGGTTTTTTTTTTTAATTCTTTGTATAAGAAGTCTTATAACATTGTGTGGCTAAGAATTTTAAAACCTTCAAACTCATCTCATTTTTTTAAAAATTATTGTAAATATTGTCAATAAAATTTGACATCATTTTTTTTATGCTTGACATTGACATACTGCTCTATTTATATGATAAATTTTTTGTTTACATTAAAAATTTGTTGAAAATTGTTTGATCCATCTACTTTAATATTTATGTGATATTATGTCTTTTCAATATCATTTAGAAAATCATTTATAACATTCTTATTTCTCAAATGTTGATGTTATTTCATAAAATAATAAGTCTAAGCTTATACTGAATGATTTTAATGAATGACTTCAATAAATGGTTTTGATATTACATTATACCTTATGTTTATATTTCTTCTCATCAATTAATTGGTGTTAAGGCCTCATTATCTTCTAGCCGAATAGCCTTCTTAATGTCTATTCTTTTCAGGTCACCCACACTGAAAGAAGCAAAGGAAGAATGAAATGTTGAAAGTGGTCAAAAACTAAGAAGAAACAAAAAAATAAATAAATACGAAGATTTTTATATAATAAAATACTTGTAACTTAAATCGGAGAAGAGCAGTCCAAATGAAACCATATCATACTTTACTTGAGAAAATATACTAGAAAGATCATATAAAAAGACCTTCGTAAGCAAACCCAAATAAAAAAATCAAATTTATTTGTTATTAGGTTGAAAAAAATCTCTAACGATGATGTATCCTCATGGAAAAACACATGAGTTGCATCATCCAGTGTGATTTAGTAACCATAAAGTCAAAAGAAGGTGACATCTAAGCTTCTAGGACTCTACTTTGTTAGAAGAAGGTAGAATCAGCAAAGGGTATGATGTGGAGGCTTATAAAGTAGAAGGGTGGATGACCTGCTTACAAAGCCAAATCTCTCCACAAAATGTCTCACGATCTTATTTGGGTTGGGAGTACCTCTAATTCCTTAAACCTGCTAGACAAAATAATCTAGGCATATAGTGCATGCCTGTTGGGTTGTGAGTAAGAATACTTTCTCTCGAGACATGCAATTTGAATGTAATTATTGAAGACATTCTAAGCGTGAAAGCTTTATTAATATGCAGGGGAATAAATCCATGCACTTAAGATCATTTTAAAATTTGTATAAAGGCCATGTAAAAAAATAAAGATAAAAAATAAAACTAACGATTTTAAAATCTAGTAAGTTTTAATCCGAACTTATTAAATCTTTTAATTTAATTTTTTATAGCAAAAATCTTACCCTAATATGCAGGGGAATAAATCCATGTACCTATGTTTTATTGGTGATTTGGGTCTCTAACTTAATGGAGATAGAAGGGTAAGTTGTTTATGATCTTAACAATAAAACATTGTACACAATAAATATATAATAACTTTAAGCCTAAAAATAATTATATAAAAAAAGATATAAATAGTTCTTTTTCTAATAACTCATCAATGAATCTTAATAAAAAGAAGCTACGAAGCTTCATCTTTTTCTTGGATACATGTAATATTTTATTTAGTTTCAACATCAGTTTATATTGTAATATAATTTCGCATTCTAAACTTAAAATGTACCTTTTTTATTAAGATTGGACTAACTTTTATAAATTAATTAGTCTTAAATATAATAAAATAAACTCTTCATTGAGAATTAAATCAAATATTTTTTTAATAATTTTATTTTTTAAATATTGGGAAAAGAATTGATAATGGATATTTTTTATTTTTATTAATAATTACTTATTTATTTTCTAACTTACTAAAAATTTATATTTTTAAGGCAGGACTTTAACTAAGTTCACCCATGACTCACCCCATTTTTATAATGTATTAAAATATACAATATTAATTTACTTTATGAATGAAAAATAAATATTCAATACATGTTTAATAATGTTTTATAGTATCTAATTATGAAGATATTTATAGCGAGTCATGTTCATGCTTTCTATTTTAGCGTTAGAGTTTTCATGGAAAAGACAATATTTCATGCTTATTTTCTTGCTTCAAACTTTTTCTTATTTATTCGAAAGAGAGCGAATCAAATTAGTTATTTTTATAATGATTAGTTTCTTTTTTTAGTGATTCATCCTTAATTGACATATTGAGGCTACATTCTTTTTTATAAAAAAATACAACACTTATTTCTCTTATCAACAAAATATAATTGAAGTTTGAGTTAGTTTTACATTTAAATGATGACCATTATGGTAAGTAACTTCTTTCATAATAATGACATTGATGATATTAACCTAACAATTTTTTAAATTCAAGGATTTTGAGAAGTACTTGTGTTTTGATCTCTTGGATGCATTTTGGTAGATTTTCTTGGGTTTGAGTTGACCTTAAACTTCTCTATTTTACGTTAGTGTAATTATATTCTTGAATGCACTTTTTGTTTATTTTGTTGGGCTTTAATTGGCTTTAATATTCTCTATTTTACCTAGAGTGTAAATACATCACATCTTAAATTCATGTGGCTCTTGGCCAAATATACGTGAATGGTGATGATTTATTCGAGCATATATTATTTTACTTTTATTTGGGCAATATCATTAAATTTAAGACTATTGTAAATGATTTTCTATATACATATGTTATTTTGAATTGTATTTTATGTTTTTTTTTTTGGTAGACCTAATTATGCATATGAGCAAAAATTTGTTGGGGCATTTACATAGATAACACACAATTCTTGTGTATTTACATACCTCACACTTTAACTTTCATATTTAGAGAGACAATATTCAAATCTTTGATCACATAAAATATAACACTATTATCACATTTTAAAAGTAAAATCCTTTTCATGCATAGATTTAAAGTAGTGGTGAAAACGAGTTGAGTCAAGATTGAGCCAAGCTTGAGCTCACACCCCTAATTAAAAATATCAAAGTCCTATATATATGTAAATATTAAAATTCAAATATAAGATATGTGTAAATACATAAGAATTGTGTGAAATACATAAGAATTGTGTGCTAGGCATGTAATAAATTTAACAAAAAATTGTTTGGGCCTCAGTTAGCCCGCTGTCTCGTCTACGCTGTCTTCAGGGTCGAACAGCGCGGCGGTCCCACTGCTCATGCCATTTCGCTCATCAACACCCCCACCGCCGCCTCCTCTTCTTTATATTCCCTTCCATAATCTAAAAGCCCTAGAAATCCACCTCTTCCTCCATAATCGCGCAGGCTTCTGATCCGTTCTTCCCTCTACCATCCCCAATTCTATCTCTCTTCCAGATGGCGAGCAACGATCCCGAGCGCAGAGAGGAAGAGGAGACCGGTGAGACAGCCGCCGGCGAGGACGAGGACACGGGGGCTCAGATCGCTCCCATCGTTCGGCTCGAGGAGGTCTCCGTAACCACTGGCGAGGAGGATGAGGACATCCTGCTCGACTTGTGAGATTTAGATCTGCTGCCTCCCTTTTTTTTATTTTTTGTGTTCTGTTTTAGATCGATGTTGCTGTGCTTGTAGGAAGGCGAAGCTGTACCGATTTGATAAGGAGGGGAATCAGTGGAAGGAGAGGGGGACGGGGAGCGTGAAGATTCTCAAGCATAAGGAAACTGGCAAGTCCCGTCTTGTGATGCGGCAGGTGAAGACGCTGAAAATCTGCGCCAACCACTTGAGTAAATTTCTTGTATTCTTTTTTGTCATTTCATTTATTTTTTGTTATTCTCTGATGTTTTGTTGATATTGTTTTCCTTTGTCGTTTATTTTTTTTTTTTGCTTGTTAGTTCTTCCTTCTATCAAGTTGCAGGAGCATGCTGGAAATGATAAGTCCTGCGTCTGGCATGCCACAGATTATTCGGATGGAGAGTTGAAGGATGAGACATTCTGTATTCGGTTTGGATCAGTGGATAGTGAGTATCTTTCCTTCTTAATGTTATTTGTGGTTGTCGAGGTAATCAGTTTTATTATTATTTTTTTCTTTTTTCTGTGTTTTAGTTTCCAAGGACTCAGGTTTAGGGCTCTCTATGCAAGCTGTGTTATGCCAATTATATGATTGTTCAAGCTTGGTTTGATATGGTTGAGCTTTTAGCATTGCTCAAGTTTTAAAATTTTTTGCTAGTTTACCTTAGTTATTTCTCAGGATTCCAGAATAAATTGAGCTCAATACAAGTTTCAGTGTTCTATGTTGACAAAGATGAGTTTGAGTTTGTAATCTAATAGTTTGAAAAACTTTTAAATGAATATTAGTTGGCAAAGCTTTGGTAATCTAGCATTAAGATATACTGGAACATTTAACTTACAAGAAAATTTAAGCGGCCACGATTTTGTGATGAAAAACAATAATATTTTATGAGAACATGATGCAGATTATAGGGAATTTTATAGATAAAAAACTAACAACAACATGAGCGCGTATTATAGCCACATATATTAGCATGCCAATCAAGTTTTTTTTTTTTAATGATGTTTAACTCATTAATTTAAAATCTATGAGGTTCTTTGTAAACTTAGTTTTCTCATTAAATATTTTAATGGAGCTTGTTGGATGTGCTAACCTTTTGTTTGGCTCTATAAATTGGGAGTTATTATTCTTTAAGGGATGTTTTCAAAAATCCTATCAGATATATTATTATTTTTATCCTTCGAGGGGCTACTTCTAGCCAACCTGATCTCTTTTTTCTCATCATCTCGAGTCACTAGCATTGTTCAGCCATTGGGAGTTGGTTTAGTTTTTTTGGTATTTTAAAATTATGGTCCAAGTCATTTTGCATTTTTATTGATTTTCTTATAACAAAATGTTTTTATTTATTTGAAATGTGCTTCTTTTGCTTGGGTTTAGACTTATATACTTCATAAAAAATTGTTTTCTTTGGAATCCTAACTTTGATTTCTGCTTTGTGATGTTTATCCGATTGTGTTATTTGTTGGTATTGTTATCTAGAAATTTTACAAGGTGAATCAGCCTGCATTAACTGGGATGTGTTGTACCTATGTTTGATGCTTTTTTTGTCATGATTTGGCTATTTCCTTAGTTACTATTGCTCGATTCATCCTCTATGTTTTTCTGGTGTATGTAGAACATATCAACTAGCTGGTTGTGAGATCTAATCTTCGTTTTAATTTATCAAGCGTTTCTAAGGTTTTTTAATTGCTACTCCATGATCTTGGACCAGGCACGTTTAGGAATTTTTAAGACCTGTTATTTACTCTATATAAGCTGATGGTTTGCTTAATGTTTCATGGGGTGTCTTGTATTTTAGCTTGTTCTCCATTTACATCATTTGCTCTTTCTATCCGTGTTTATGTTTCTTTTTCAGTAGAATTGAGTCTTTAGTATCCTTATGAGTAGATGTGAAATGATCTCCATTGGCACAATAATAGAGAGAAATCTAGGCTTTATGTGTATCTCTAATTTGGTAACTTAAAATTGACAAGGCTTTCACACCACAACAATCCTTTATCTCTTTCTCTTATTCATTATAACCAACACGGCATTGAAAAGAGGTCCAATGGACATGCCAACTAGGTGTAATTAATGAGGTTGTTGATTTGAATTCCTAATCTTGAAACAGTGAACATACATGGTTTATTAATAATATAATTAAACAAAATATAAGGAGAAAATGAAATAATTATATCCAGTTCTCCTTTCTAGCTTGTTAAAAGTCCCTAAAGCATAATATCTCTAAGATTTCAACTCAGAAGAGGTTTGCACCAAAGGTTTTCATCAACCTTTATTCAGTGTTCAAAATCCCTTTGTATAAATAGAGAATCTTGGTTACAATTGGAAGAGGGAAATGCAATTAGGAATGCTACATGAAAACTCGAGTACAATTATGAGGCGGTGTGAATTTGGTATCCAGCTTGTGGACAAGATAACATCATAATTGTTTGACATCTTTTGGTAGTTTTTTTGAGACATTTTTCATGCTTTTTTTTGCCTTGATAGATTTTTTTTAGCAGCATAATAATGTTCATGTGTTCATCTTGATAACTTTTGAATCCTCTTTGGGGTCTTTTACTCGATTTTTAATTCCTCTCAACTTGCCATCAGCTTCTCAATTTAATGATACAAAAGAATAAACCCTCTCTCTAGGAGGTTATTCACATATAAGATTCAGTAGAGATGGGGGGGGCGCGGGCCCCCCCCCCCCCCCTCTCTCTCTCTCTCTCTCTCAAATATGATATTTCGATTTGGCACCACTTGCCTTTGTTTGCCAATGATATAGCTCCTTGGTGCTCTGAAGGGTTATCATTGTGTGTCTCATGATTCTCTTCTTCAGAAGGTGGCTTATTATCAACTAATTATCTTGGCTTAGTAGTATGTCGTCGAGATGTAAGACTTCCTCAATCTTGTCATCCACCATTGAAGGCTTAGTTTGCATCAAATTTCTCATTCACCATTGATTAGATCTCTATATAAGCTAGCTGGCCCATTAATATGTGTTGTACTCGATGTTTTTTTGAATCTTGAATGGACCATATTGATTTGGTTTGATTTTTTGCCCTTTTTCCGCCAGTATATCAATGTCAATGTAGAGAGCCACATCTTTTTTTAAAATCTTCTTCTCTACTCGATGTTGATCATGTCACACTTATAGCATCATTATTATTTGGCAAGTGGCATCTATACCTTGGCTGCAATCTTCTTGATTCTTTCAATTTTTAGGTTCTCCTGACCTCAGTTTATGGGCGTGATCAATGCTTCTTGCTAGAATTGCGAATCTAATTGACTTTAAGGTTGGTATTTCATGCTGGAGCTTAATATATTGAATTTTGCTTCTTCATATTGATTGAGAATTTCATATACATCGATTTTTTATTCCAAATCTTTGAATGATGTGAATTAAATCCTTTTAATCGGTGCATAACAATTCTATTTACAATATCAATTTAACCATTAGTCTGTATGAAATGATTTATCATTGTTTTGAGTTGTATTTATCATAATCCATAGTGAGTTCCAAAAAGAGCTGATGAAGTGGGAGTCCCCATTCAATATAGTTGGGCTCGATAAATCAAAATTCACTTAAATATCATTTAAAAGAGATGCACACTGCTTTTTTCCAATCATGTCTTTTACATTCCATGACTGCTATATATATAAGTTTTCAAGCATCTTCATGACTCCCAAATCCGACCATCTTAGAAATATGTGCTCATCTTGTCCAGTTGATAAAATATTTGCAAACAAAATCTTGATGGCTTAGCCGAGAAATCCTTTGATTATGCATCTTTCCTCTTAGTTGCAATTGCATTAATGTCGACAGTCATCAGAGTCGGTGAAATCATATCTACCCTTTTTTATGCTCTTCCTTTTGGTATTGAATAAGTTGATTTGTTGCTACTATATTATCCATTGTATGTGTTTTGCTTGCTAAAGTGTTGGTTGAATTTGTAAGTATTTAGGCGGTTTCTGGTCCATATCAATATGTATAGAGATGGCTTTTCCTAGTTGAAATTCTAAGTCTAGGTAGAGTAGGGCCTTCTTTCTAAAGTTAGGGGTGTTTATTTGGGTTGACTATCAAATCTGGGTGTAACCTAAAGTTGAACCTATGTGAGCGTACTTGGTACAAACTTGATCAGTTTGTTATGTAGGTCAAAATGTTTGACTCAGTTTTGACTCAAATTGGACCCACCTAATCTAAACTTGACCAGTCGAACCTATTTATTATATGAATCATGCAATTCGTTGAATAAAAACAGCCAATTAGCCCAAATTAGCCTTTTTGAACTAATAATATGTATACTTGATTTGGGTGAACTAAAGTAGTGATTGGATTGTTTTTAGGTCAACATGAGCTTGAGATCAGCTCAAATAATAATTAGGCATATATGCTTGATTTGAACAAGACTCTAATAGTGATTGGTCAACTCAAAATTGAATTTTTGAGTTGGGTAAGACTCTAATAGTGATTGCTCAACTCAATTATTCAAAGATTTTTTTCTGTCCGTAGTGTAGGATAAAAAGATTTAAGTCATCACAAGTCCATAGAGAAAGATAGATATCTAATGTTGAAGTCTAGGAGGAAGTAAATTTGGAACGTTGGACGGTAATAAAGTAACAAAATTTTGATGTCTTGATTTTTTGAAGTTGTTTCAGATAAAATATATTTGGAATTTAAATTTGAATCTTTTTTTATTAAGTTAGTTTTGGAAGAGTAAAGTTGTTTCTAAGTAATGGAGTTGTGAATAATATTTCTTCTTATTTGATGGAGTTATTCTAAGAGAATATAACGTGACTTCTAGTTTAATATTTGTTATTTCTTTGTTTATAAATGGTTATTTTTTTATTGAAAAGTAAATATAACTATTTCAAAAGATTTTCTCTTATCATTTTCTGATTTATTATAACAACAATGCAGAGACAGCTACAAATCCCAATCAACGTAGCAAACCAAGATCATTATATCAAACATTCAATTTGGTATTAGAAAAGTCTAGTGGTTCCAAAAATGTTCTGCACATTCAATTTCATATTATAATTTCGTCAGAGTTCCAGTTCTAGCTTACAGTATTTTTTGTGTGGTTAAACTAAGGATTGGAAAGGATACCCTTGGGGGTTCTTGGGATTTTGTGAACTGCTAATTTGTGTATAAATTATAAAAAATTGAATGGTTTCTTATGATGAAAGAACTGGCCAATTAGGCGTAATCAAATGGTGATGATGAAAAAATATATGGCCACAATGATGGCTTCCGTTAAAGCTCTTCATGCTAAGACAACACTACTAACAACTAATTTGCCATCACTGATACGGACTACAAGAATCATCCAATAGAAGACTACTAAGAAGAACCCATCAGCAAGGAGAGAAGTTGATAAGGAAACGAATATTAGAGATATTATCTTTAAAGCAAAAACAAAGCTAGAGTTGCTTTACTATGATGAAGCATTTAAAGTTGATGTA